GCTGCAGTGTTTTCTTCTATGCTTGAAATAGTATTTTCTTTTTAAAGAGGAAATTAAAGTAACCAGAACACAGAGGTAATGCGGGCAGCCTGAATTTTACTGCATAAGGAAGAGAAGGGATATACACAACAATGTCCTTGATTGGAAAGCACTTTAATTGATAGACTTTGAAATTTCTGCTGAGTTTTGCAGTGTTGTAGTAATCAGAAATGGAACTACTCTTCCAGTTCAAAGCAAAATTTGTTAAAACCACTTTACATGCCACATCTTGCTGAAGTGATTTTAGTTGGCAGCAAGTAGTCAGTGTGGGTGAGGTCAATGAAAACAAATTCCTGTTTCTGGAATGCCTGGAAAGATGCATGCACTCACGGCTGTATGACTGCCACAGCTTTAGGGAAGACTCCAGCAATTTACTCCTTCATTCTCACATACTTGTGAACTGCTCAAATACAGGAATGAAAGAAACGGGTAATCTTGCACAGCGGTTTACTCCATTATTTCTTACAGAAGATAAAGTGAATATTCCTTCAGTAAATCAATATTAATATACAATTTTTAAGTGTCAGAATGCCACAGACCTCCAACTGAGGAAGGATATATATATCTACATTTTCAGAGTCTCTCTGCCATAGATAATCTGACTAAAAAGGTGCAGTACTTTTTATGCTATTATTCTTTTTTACTTAATGTGCATCCTTCAATAATAGCTGTATGATCAGAAAGAGAGCCTTTTTGAATTTTTAATTAAAATTGTGAGTGGCTAAAGTACCCATAGATGCTTGTAGGTCAAAATCTACAAATTAAACATCCCAAGCTGATACATACTATACAATTTTTGTCCGTGATGTATCCCGTCCTCTCTCTCAGTTTCTCAGAATTAAAGGAGGCTGAGAGAACTAATAAGTAATTCCACTCTATTCCCTCTCCTCTCTTCAGTTGCTACAAGACACAGATGAAGTTTTCTGCATGCCCTAAATACATTTTTATGTCTCAGGTTGTAAGACTGCTTTTTAGGAATGTAATGTAACCTCAATATTTCTACAGGAAAGCAAACTTGAAGAGTAAGAAACTACTGTGTTATTTTCTAGTAGGACATGAAACCAGAAAACAACATTTAAAAACACAAATTCCGTGGCAAATATGCAGAATTCTGGTAAAATCCCTAATAAAAAGCTTGAAAAGTGAGGGGGATCCGAGGAACTCTGAATTGGCTTTTTTTCTCTCAATCAGACTAGCTACAGAGGTTGTTTCAGGCCGTTTAGACATGCAGGTAAATAATGTTTTGAGGCTTGAAATGTGGTTAGTATTTTCATGGTTATCACCACAAATAGAAGGGCTAGAAACATTTGAAATCTATGTCTCTTGTGCATAATTCTGTACTGAGAAGAACATCTTACGATCATACAACTGTGCAAGAAACGGTGATGAGTAGAAAGGGTCTAGAAAGAGAGAACGAAATATATCAGAATAGGTGCAGGTTGACAAAAAGCACAGGAATGTGATTTTCAGAATGAATGGACGTTCCAACACAAAGCCATGATGGTACGGAATTGTAGATGCACTATGACATTTAAAAATTGCATTTTCAATTTGAAACACAGGCAAAACATGGAAAGAGTTACGTGAGAGAGGACAACTCATACTCAAGAGACAGTGATCAACTAAGATGTGATTTCTAATTTACATTTTACTTTGCTCATCTAAACTATGAGGGATGCTGCCTAACTTGTACTGTCAACATTAACTCTAAAAATCAAAGACCAGTTTGGCACTATACACTAGAGAGTCAAGTAAAGGTAGACTGGTGAAACTACCCACTAAAAGAATAACTGGGCTAATCATACCTAATGCAACTTACTCAACACTTGCAGCAGAACAAACCCAGAGGAGAAAAGACACAGAAGAAAAAAGATTAAATCAATAAATATCACTAATTTGAATTCAGTTTGCTTAGGGAAACTCAAGATGCATTTACTCATCTATTTAATTGAGCTGATATTCCAAACAAAATTATCTATTGCCAGGACTGTTTTATTTAGGAAACATTCAAAATTAAAATCCTGGGGAACAAAATCTTTATACAAACACACAGCTAAGTGATAATGCAAATTAATTAATACACTAGGGTTGCACTTATTAACACATCTCAACTCAGTTGCAAATTACAGTGAGTTTGCAAGCTTCCTCCTTGTTCTTAGTCGGTTTTTGCTTCATTCCTTTTAGAATTGTCATGCAATTAACTCATGATTAAGGGAAGAATGGAGAAGGAGGGGGGAATTGCTAGTTGGGGTATGTTGCAGGGAGAGACTCCTATCTTTGCCTACTCCATTTTTTTCCTCATTATTTAAACATTTCAACATCTAAACTGTGTGTACCTAGGCAAATAAAACTTGCAAGTTCTTTTTCTGGTAGGGATTAGATTGTAAATTAGATGTAGCACAGCAAGGAATGACAAATACACAGAGAGTACTAAGGCTGGAATATAGTAGAATGATGCTTATTATTCAGGAGATGAGAACTCTGCAGATGTTTGTTCACATCTTTTTAGATCTCATTTTCCTTGTCTGTTTTGTTTGCTAACAAACACACTGAGCATCACTCAGCATGAGGTCATCAATGCGATGCTAACCAATGAGTTTTGTAAGAGATGATTAAGGACCACTCCTAAAATTTATACAAAATATTTCACATATTTAATATTAAGCCAAAAATCTCTAGTAACTCCTAACATGAAATTACCTAAGGAAATGGGACACTGTAAACACCACGGCCTTTTTAATTTTTCTGAGGCAACACAGCTAGGCACAGAACAAAAGCACATCAGGATGCCTCATGACTGCTCTAGTGAGGTTCTGATCGGTTCTCAAGGTGCTGCCTGACACTCCGGACATTTATGAGAACATACAACAGCCACTACATCAGAATAAGGACTAGGTGATGTCAAATGCACTTGTAGAAATATCAAACTGCTATGTGCTCTGTTAGTTGCAGTAGCCCAACGCACGCTGCCTGAGTTTTTCAGCTACAGCATCACATCCACTCATCACAACTCACACAGGCTGTTGTCAGCCTCTACCTTCCCCAGCCACATAATTAGTCAGCTGAGATTGAAAAAAACCCAGTTTTCTCAGATCAAAAGTAAAATGACTTTAAAAAGAATCAAAGTGTAATGAAAATGTGAAAACATTAATCCTAAAAATAAACACATGCTCACCAGCGATTCTCTTCCCAATTTGCAGTGAGACTCTGAGTCTGTCAAATATGAGCTCAAACCTGTTAAAATCCCAGCAACCTTGATCAGGGTGGGGACCTCAGGAGATGACACAGAGACGACTCCCCTACACTGAAGCAAGATAATGAAAGTAATACTGGAAAAATGAGAAGAACAGGTACTGGTGGTTAGCTTAAGATGCTGTTCGGAAGGTGGTGTTGATGTACTTGCTGTACCATACACAATTAAGAGAAGTCAGAAATTTAACTTAGTGGATTATGGAAGCTGGAAGGACTCTAGCAATATACTCAAGAATATTTACTTCAGTGTGTAAAACCTGAATATAATTCTGCAGTCCCATTTTTCTTCAGTAGAGAAAAGCAAAAAGGGGAAAACTCTGTATCTGGTTTTACCAAAAATATACTATTTAGAACAGTTTGCTTTTCAACCAGGCAGCATCCTATAAATAATTTCTCTCTTACTGAGTACATGTTTCAAGCTACCAAAGTTAAGATAGCAAAAAATTTGATTGAATGAACACAGCAGGTGAAGCCAGTAATACCACTTCTCAACCAGGTCTGTAAAAACAGTCTAAGTGCTCTAAGGCAGCTGAACAGTGCTTCCTAGTATTTTATTCATGGAAAAACAGCCTTAAGTTGGGGATACATAATGAAATTCATCTGCAGTGCAGTACTTTATACTCACTGTAGGAAAGTACTAAAAAATCCCTGTGTGGGACATAAATGTTTTGCAGTTTGCATGGGCTCAGAGGCTTCATTTTGGAAATCCCTGCTTTAGAGCATTTAAACAATCTGCAGAACAACGATTACTAACTTAGGATGCAATCACTGTAGTTCCCAGTAATCAGCCTGATAAGTTTCCAAGACACTAACAGTTCTGTTCTGGAGTTGTTTTTTTTCCCATTTCATTTGGGTTTATGTTGTCTATTCTGTACATGAGATATGCTGCCTCCCTAAAAATATCCACTTGCTGTTACTTTTTCTGCATACGCTGTGATTTTGATGAGCAATAAGAGTGCTACTCTCTTCTGGGATAGTAACTAGGAAATGTATTTTTCCACTGTTAACTTTTAACTCTAGTGTGAAGTCCCAGGGACAGCCATCTTTATATAGGAAAATGCTTCCAGTGTACAGAGGAGAAATGCATTCCTTTAGGAATTTGTGAGAGATTTGCAAAGGAACAAAGGCTAGAGCTGATGGAGTTTTCTTTATGTTGTTGTAGGACAAGTTTCATTGCTGCCAAGAACCCCTCTCATACTGGTGGTCTCTGATAAGAGGTAAACAAACCAGGGCAGTAATATAATCCTTAAGTCCCGAGGCAGTCCTGGTAGGTCACACTTCGGAAATGGTAAGGAGGCACAGAAACTCCTGTCCCTGTCCTAAGAATGCACTGGAGACTTCGGTTTCCAGCTCAATCAAATCTGGTATCAATAGGCAGCCTTAAAATTGCACTGTAAAGTGAAAACATAGCACCTTCATGCATTTATTTATCAGTTGTTTTGGCAGCACACAATTGAAAAAAACACCGAAATAACCTACAAAGGAATAGTAAGTGCTCGAGGAATGAAAAGGGAGCACACTAAGAGTGCACACCATCTGGACAGCGAGCTATTTGGCACCAGTTTGCAGCTCCATTGGTTGATGAGCCTTTCACACAGAAGGCAGAATCCTTGCAGTGGTCTAAATTAAAGAACAAATGGACTCTGTTTGTTAAAGATGCAGGATGTTTAGCAGTGTTCAATATAGTAGTTTGCATCTTCATTAAAATCTGAAAATAGAACAACTGAAGCTGAGTAAAAGTGATTAGAACATTTATGTTTTAAATCTTTCAACTCACTCATGTTTCTCAGAATTTATTTGTCAGCAAATTCAGGTCAGATACTCAAACTGTAAATTGTGGTAGTTCAGTTATGACAGCTTGCATCACTGGGTGTCTACTGCCTGGCTTTCAGAGTGTAAATCCTGCTCTGAAAGAGACTCTAAAATCCAGCTTGTGAAGTCCCATATTTGTCTTCTACAAATCAACAGCTACACTGGCCTATTCTGCACAGCACCAAGTGGTGATCTACACAAGCAGGCTTTCCCCCTAGTGTAATCTTCTGCTTCGATGTATTTGAAAGCTACTTAATTATTACAGAGAGGGCTATTTGCTTGCTTTCTCTGTTGCTATTCTCATGGAAACACCATCACTTCTGCTTAAAGGAGAAGATACTCTTTTGTAACTTTGTGGACTTCAATATGTGGTGAAAGCCCTAAGGTGAACTCAGCCACTTGATTTGTCCTGATGGATACAAAAAATCAATTAAAAAGGAGGCCAGAGCACGCAATCCAAGAGGTAAAAGGCATTTCTGCTATACAATGCTTACAGTATTTTTTGTCAATAAATGTGCCCATAATTTTCCATCATTTCTGTGGGTACAAAAAGGCAGAAAGAAATCCTCCTCTTGCATCTCTGCATGGCACTATCACACCAGCTCCAGCAATCCTCGGAGCATGAAACTTGTTCTTTCCATAAACTCCCAAAGCACATGGGGATCCAGTTGTGGGTGACTGTGTAGCCTTAGTACAGCCCTCCTCTGCACAACACGCTCCATTCTCTAATCCACCTTTCCCATAGGATCTATGTTTTATTGAACGCCAGAAGGGAATGAAGATCCACCAGAACTGTGCAGTGAGGACAACCTCTTTCCTACAGGAATATTACTTGTTTTAGAAGTTAAAAGGTATTTAGTGAATAGAGAGAGATTACAAAGGAGGGAAGGATGCCTTGAGTAAATAACTAAAAGGTGCTCTGTAACCCCATGCAAGTAATTTAAGCCAGTAATTGGGCTCATGAGTCTGTAACATTAGAGTGCTGACTAGACACACTGTTCACTTAATCTGACGTTCTGAGCACTCACAGGGGCCACTGAAATCAATGAGACCACTGCTTTGAATGAGTAAAGTATTATATAATGCTGTTAATCTCAAGAACAGCACCTTAGTAACTTCATATTGAACATCGAAAACCTCAATGGATACAGAACAAATCAAGGGGTTTATCACAGAAGGGCCTGAAACAATACATTGGACCTAGTGCAGGTATAAATGATATTTTAAACAAAAATGGGAATGAAAAACACTGAAGAATTTTGCATCTTATATTTACCCATTTTAAACAGTAGATGGAACAAAGTATCTGTGACAAATAGCAGCACACGGCTATATACTTAAGGACTGTACCATAACGTTTGCTGCAGGGAGAAAGAAGTAAAATAGCAAAACTACCTCAATTCTAACTTCTTGATTGTTTGACTTTTCAATTTTCACAATGTTCTTTTTAACATAATATATGAAGAGAAAACCTGAAACTATCATGGATTTATTTGAGGGATGAAAAATGTGTACATGCACTAGCCAGAGTAATTTTATTATACACCGATTAGACTAAATTATAAAGCAATGGCTGTAAAGGCACACAGATTTTAATGATGGACTGGTATTAAATTCTCTGGTTCTTAGAGCTGAAATAATCCTTTTTATTTTCCAATTATAAGCAATTACAATAAACTGGAAAATGGGATATTGCTAGACTGGATGAAAAACTTTTTAACTGTTGTGGAGAAGGACAAAAACTGCTATCCAAGTGGGATGAAAAATCTTTTGGCTGAAGATACAGAATCACGGAATCATTAATGTTGGAAGAGACCTCTCAGATCATCAAGTCCAACCGTCAACCTAATACCACCATGCCCACACTAAACCATGTCCTGAAGTGCCACATCCACATACTTCTTCAATATATCACTTCTGTCTAAAGTTTCACTATGTCAGGAATCCCTGTACAAAACAGGACCGTGAGAAATCCCAGATTTGGAACTGGCAGGACACTCAGGTGAAACAGAGGCCTCAGTGGTCAACTGAAATTTCCTTGAAGCACTTCCACTTTTCCCATTTACCGTATCAGTACATGAACTTGAGCCAGAGGCTGATTTCAGAGAACAACAAGGATGCCGATTTGTCTATCACAACCTGTTTATTAAAAGCAAAGCTAAAAATCTTGGGAGGTGTGAACCTCGGGTGCAAAAAAAATGTTGGGTGCAAAAGAATCACAGTCCCATCAAAGCAGCTCCTCTGAGAGTCTTCCTTAGTGAACAGTTAGAGTAAACAAAGCAGAAACACTGCAGTGCAATAAAAGACAGTAAAAGCAATCTTTCAAATAATGCATCTTTACAGTAAACGTTTTCAAGTCACTGGCCTGTCTATGATGATGGAGGACCAAGATTTGAGACACTGCTCTAGCAATCTCAGTAAAAGCAGCCATTTCAGGACTTGTATATTTGTAGCAGGCCTCCTATATACATCTACTCCTGGATTATGCTTTAACTACAGTAATGATTCATCCTCGTATCTCCTGAACATGGTGAAGAAAGAGCAACTAAATGATGAACGCATTAGCCCACACATTCTGGCCCTCATCTGGAGTTATACAGCCTGGAGAAAGAGAGCAAGCTAAGAAGAATAAAATAAATCAATGACTGAAGTAGGCATGAAAAAGGAGGTGCTCCTCTGCATTTGGTAGGAAGATTTGGGTAGTATATAATCCTGTTTTAGTGCAAAACGTGCTGGATAGAGTAAGCAATCTACTGGTGTCATTTCTCAATCTGGTTTTCTATCATTTATTCTTAAGGATTAATCTTACACATTGGCAGGTTTTTGTAGAGGAGCTTGGAAATGCAGACAGTATTGATTTTGGAGCTTACACAAGAGATCTCTGCAGTAGGTTCACAGAAATTCCTTTTGTTATTTTGAAATTTGGCTTCAGTCTGAACTGGACTACGAGATACCTGAAATCTCTTCTAGCCTCACGTTTCCATAAATAAGCTCAAACAGGTTCTCCAGTAATCACAGAAAAGGTAAAAGGACCTAATCCTTCCCCATATGACCATTTCTAAAATATAAATAAAATATGGCTAAAATCTCTCTCTTAGAATGAAGTAAAGGCTGAAAGGAAAGGCAATTCAAGTGGCACAAGATCACACCATTAAAACAGACACACAGCTAGCCCACCAATTCCTAATTTTCTATCACATTTTCACAATTTTTGTAAAATTAAACCAAAAAAGTAATGCTATTTGAGATGCAAATTGAAAATTAACATTAGTCAGAGATTTCTCAGCTCATTTGAAAGGTAAGAATACGTTGACTGAATCAACCAACTTGTTGGTTTGAAAGTAACAGAACAAGGATCTTAATCTTATAGAAAAATATTATTCATCAAATAGAAGACATACGTCTATATACAACCAGAAAGCCTTTACAAAGAAGCAGCACTAACCTTGTACTATGTAGGGAGTGTTCTCGTCTCTGGCTGGTGAACACAGGGGCCGAGGAGCAGGGGCTGGGGGCCTGTTCATGATAAAAGATCTGCGTTCTTTCCTCTTCTCCTCCTTCTCCTCCTCAGCCAGTATGAAATCGTACACAGATTCATCCAATTCCGCAAACGTGTATGGGTCTTCCTCCTCACTGTCTCTCTTGCACGTATCTTGGTCTTCTCTGTAGCATGCTATTAGGAGTCCATCACCATGTTCTGTTTCGCCTCTGTCCTCCACAAAATTCATGTCTGAAAAAGCGAGGAATCGTGTTTCATATATAGGGTAAAGAAATAAGATTAAGACTTAACTTAAAGCTTTTGAGTTTCCTAAAGTGACTCAGACCTAATTCCACTTCTAAACTAAAGCGCTCTGATTTTCAGAGGCTTCTGATCATCTAAGTCAGTAGCGAGGATGCCCCAAAGGAATAATTCCAACTTCAGGGCCTCCTCAAGATTTCACATCAGATTATAAAAAATAGATGCTTAGCTATTAGCTCCAAAATAAATGGGTTTATTTAAAAGAAATACTGAGTGCCCCAGATGCTTCCACAAAAGTCACACAAACATGTTCTTTAATGGTGATGTCAAGTAAGTGGTAGCTGTGGCCCTAGGCATTTTGAAAATACAGGCTATTTGTTAGCTGTTGCAACAATGGCTTAAGAATTAAAACTTATTTTAGAAAATGTTGAGTTTTGTCTTTCCTGCATCTTCAATGCCTCACTTGGTTTTGAGGGCTTTACTAAGATGTATTGTAGGACAAGGTGGCAAAAAATGGAAAAAGCCCCTTACAGTATAGATAAAATTTATGACTTCTCATAATCTATGCTAAGACTATCCAAATCCTCACACCCCAATAACTTCACTCACTCTCTGTATTCCCTATATTTCATAAATTTCACAGTACAACTACTCAGAACTTGCTTTAGCTTTTATATTTCACAGCATTAAAAGGAATCCATGAATTTCCCAATACCTGGGTTTGATTTGTCTTTAAAACCTCAAAAAAACTGCTAAGAGTTAGAAGCTGTTACTGAGGCTGGTGTTCCCATAAATGTTTATAACTTCCTTGTGCTGATTACCCATCTTTCCTGCAAAAACAGGGGACCTGCCTGGAATTTTTGTACGGAGTCTTGTTTTCCTTGTGTTGTAATCTACTACCCGTACATATGTATCTGCTAGACTAGGCTGTGGTCACTACTCGTGTTTTCAATCCTTTGGCTGCTATTTAAAGACTTGTTTTATCTGTTTATGGGTTCAGAGGAGCTAAGCAATCTCTGTAAGTGTGATACATTTATAAATGGGATGTGTCATTTATAAATGGGATATATTATGAATACGTACTATCAACATGTATTCTGGCTAAGATATAAAAATGTTTTCAAACAAGTGGGATTCATACACCTGCCACACTTAATATGAAAAATAATTTGTTTCCATGTCACTATAAAAGTTGTATTTCTTTCTCTGTAGGATATTCTTTCTTTTAACTCCCACAGGGGGCACTCTCATGCCACTGCCAAAACAGAGATTTCAAGAAAAGGGGACTTGCATTTTAGGTATTCCACATCAACACCTAAAGCAACTGGCTGACTAAAAATACGTAGCAATGACTCATTAGAGCTCCTCTTTGAAAGCCATCAGCATCCTCATCTAGAGGAATTCTGATACTCTCCAATCCCATTCCCCAGTGATGAAACCAAGGGTAAGACTTCAGGAAAATTCACACCATGGTTTAAATGGACTACTCACTGGAGCGTTTTTAGATGAATTCTGGCTTACCAGTGCAGGACACTACATAGCAGAGAAACTCCCTCTGCTGGTATCCTGCTCTGGCAGAGGGGTTGGACTGGATGATCTTTCGAGGTCCCTTCCAATTCCTACTATTCTGTGATTCTGTGATACCCACATATGGACAACTGGCATTTGGCAGAGAGGTACACATCAGTACTTGACGGTATAGCCACATGAGAGCTATTCCAAGACAGGCATTTGTATCAAACCTACACCAACAAACCCGGTGTGCCAAACCTGACTCCTCATTTATGCACACATACAGCTGCAGTTCAGTATTTTGTGAGAAGCAAAGCACATCTTCAATATTAATTTATTCTGCCTCTCTCTCTCTTAGAACCCACCTGTGACTTCCTGCATGTAGCCAGCTTTTTCACAGCAGAAAACAGGAAAAAAACCTACCTATAGCAGGCTATAAGGCTACAAAGCTATTTCTGTCTACTTAGATGAACACCAAAGTGCTTGGAGATGGTAATTTAAGACTCTAATAGGTCATGTCACATTTTAAAACAGAGTTAACAATAATAAGCAGTGGAGACATTCAAAAGCAATTTGTGTGCACACTTATCAGTAGTGTCCATGACAAATAAGAAGGGTTGTTTTTGGTTTTTTTCCCTTGCATGTGACTATTTAAGACTGGTATTTAAGCTTGAATTCCTGTGTATACTTGTTTTTCTCAATGTGAAAAAAATAATAATTCTTTCTGAAATAGATACAAATAGTATTTAGGGTGTTTGATCACTTGATTCAAACTACAACACTAAATTTTAGATTTTTACTCTGAGGCAGAAGTATTAAAAAAAGGAAAAAAAAGGAAAAAACCCTTCATTAAAAGCCACAGTTTCCCTCTTTCCAATCTGCAGCACAATATAGCTTTTTTATTTCTAACTACAGCATTGGCTAAAACATAATAAAATACTATGTTACTTCTCTCCGCACCGTCACTTTCTATTAATTCTACCTGTGAAATTCCAAGCTGTATTAAATCAAGATAGTATTTAATATTTTTAATGGTAAATACTTGCAGCCCATTCCACAGTATTAGCTGACATACCTGGTTGTGAACATCTTGATGCAGCAAAGTTCATATGCCCATGCTTGCTTTGCAGCATTAAGGCCCAGCTACTGCTGTTACGAGACGTGATCATACATAATCTCTACAGCAGCACCTAGTCTGCCCTTGCATATGTTTCTATCTGGGGTTATTTTCCTCCCAAGATCATACCTTGAGATAAACTGTGCAGATCATCCTGTTTTAGGATGCCAGGCAGATTTCGAGGGGGAGGAGGGGGTGGCCCCTTACAGAAGAAGCAGCCTCTTCTGTCCTCTTTGAGGTCATCAGGTATGCTGGCGTACAGGTTGTCAGGGCTGCTGCGAAAGCTGTATGAATCTTCCTCTTCTTGATCTTCATGTTCTGTTTCCTCTCTGCTGACTTCTACATCATCTTTCCTTTCCTCATCCACTTCAGCTTCTTGTTGGCATCTCGATTCAATTCCATATTGATCTCCTGGGTTCTGGTCGGTTTTTATTGCTAAAGAATGCATTATTTCATTTAAAATTTGCCATTTGGAAACATTTCCTGTTTCAAGGATTGCCACAGAAGCAACACAATGGCTAATAAAACTTTTATAAACTAATACAGTGGAAAGCTGTCAAATACATACCGTCAGTGAACAGCTTTTTAAATATTTACCAAATCAGCAGTGCAAGTTTTTATTGTATCTTGCTACTCTGATACACATCATCTTCATGCACGCAACGTTAAACTTTTCTAGAGTTGCTGTCAGAATGAAATCACACACTTATCTTGCCTCCGTAACTTGTATCACTTGACTTTCAATGCAGCATAGTGCAACATTTATTAGAATAAAGCTGTAGCCCACACAGCTGTGTAACTTGATTTTGTACAATGGGGTTTGGGTGCTTCTTTAAATCTCTCTGAAATGAACTAAACATTGTCCCTAGGAGACATGGCTGTATTCCTGCAGAAATGGAGCTCTACTGTCTTTAGTGGCTCACAGACCACAGAACAAGAATGTAGTGGAGGAATGTGAAAACATATATTTTAATCATTATGTGAAGCATCAAGATTTGGGTAGTCAACCTCAGTAACATAACAGAGTAAACTATATAAGTCCATCAGCAGACATACAGTCAATACATAGCAGCTAAACCTTGAGGTAGGTTTCCATTCTGAGTTCCCCTTTGGTGATGCCTTTCTTTCACCACTGATTCAAATGAGAGGTTAGTGCACTCAGCTGCCTAACATAGCGGTTTTCTGGATTCTGAGCAGAGATCACAAATTATTTTCAGAATTCATCATGAGGGGTGGTTGCACCAAGGTCTGTCTTACTGAGCAATGACTTTGTTATCATGACTGAATCCCTTATCTGCCTTCCCCTTCTCCTAGGACATCTGCCCTCCATGGAAGTTGTAGTAACATGTGGAAATTGAAAGCATAAAAATAATTTGCCACCTCTGCCCATAATCTCACTCACTTAATGTGGCACATGATTTGTTACTGAAAAAGCTGTCTCACAACATTACTTACTCATGGCTGGTCGAGTTTCTGAGCCTAACATAAGCACATAAGTGTCATCATCTTCTGCTTCCTCCTCACATTTGGTGGAATTATCTGCTGTATTAATCTAGAACAAAAAATAAGGAGAACATTTGTTTGGTGACACCATCTTCAAGCAAAGCTGTGCAGGGTTAGCATTAACCTGAGGAGAAACAACAGCGTTTTCTTCTTTTAGTTCTGTCCAAAACTGATGTGTATTTTGCAGAGATTTCTCTCCTACCTTCACAGTCTGCTATTGATATAATATTCAACATTCTACTTAAGGGGAAAGTGGAGACAGAAACACCATGCATTTGCAACTACGTAGTGGGATACATACTATAGGCAAAAGGAATGTGTATATCTGGGTACATATAAAGGACACAAGGTGTCCATCCAAGTCTGCTCAGCAAGGACTGAAGCTAATTAATCTTTCCTTAGCACTGCACTGGGCTGCCCAGACAGTTCCCAACTCTGCTCCCAACTGTGAAGCACTCACAGGTAACAAGAAAGCTCAGTAACAGAAAACCATAAAGTCTACAGGACATTACTGAATAGCTCAAGGGTGCACAGAGTGCAAGAAATTTCAGGAGACCTCATTACAAACAGTTTCTGTATCCTAGTGGTTGATACCAAAAGCTGCATCTGCACTGAAAAACCAGAAACAGGAGTGCAAATCATGTTAGCGGTTCTACCTCAGTGTTCAAAAGTGGCAAAGCATTCCTCCTGGTTCCTCTAGAAAGCCTGTGCATTCACACAGTGGTACTCAAAATCAGCCTCAGCAGGGTCAGAACAATCAGTTCTCCTAAAAATTATCAATATATTGCTTTAAGCAGAAGAGGTACAAACTTCTGCTCACCCATAGCCACTAAGAGGAACCTTGTAACACAACTACAGACAATTTCATTGTCTTAAAATATACAGTACACACTTGTTAGTTGCTGATTTTCAGAAACAACAGTTTTTGTCAAGGAACCCTGCAGGACCTTGATTCCCATGTAAGTGCAATATAAAGCTATCCCACGTGAGCACAATGGAGCTCTCAATAATTATTCAGGAATTTTGAATAACAAAATGTCAATTCTAGAGGTTTGAACACATCAACCCCAAAGCAGATAGGGAAACAGCATAGTCCATATATATCATCTAGTCTGTGAAATTAATTACAAGCAGATTAGTGGACAGTGACATCAAGAGAAAGAACTGATGAGTGGTTATACCCTTCTGTATGGTGCAGAAACTGACTCCCATGAACTCGTGCCAGAGTCTCAAAATATGTGTTGCTAGTATCCTCCTGCCTCCTGGCATCCACAGCCCCTGTCTCAGGGACAGGGTTCTCAGGCCTGAAATTAATATCACTGTGTGAAAGGCGAAAGAATTTGGAGAAACAGTGGGTTTTTCTGGGGAACCAAGAATGCCTTCTTCCCTGCTGGTCTTGCACATAGCATAGGAAGAAATTCTTTACTGTGATGGTGGTGAGACATTGGCACAGGTTGCCCAAGGAAGTTGTGGATGTCCCCTCCCTGGAAGTGTTCAAGGCCAGGTTGGATGACGCTTTGGGCAACCTGGGCTGGTGGGAGGTGTCCCTGCCCATGGCAGGGCGGGGGTTGGACTAAATGACCTTTAGGGTCCCTTCCAACCCAAACCATTCTATGATTCTATATGATTTTATGTTTCTACAGCAGAATTTCAGGTATAGCGTACAACACGCACACAGTCCAGAATTTTAAAGTCTTTTGAGTTTGTTTGGCTGAAAATGGCTCTTTTGATTTACACTGAGATTTCTTATGGATGTCACGTGACCTTCCAAAAGACGAACTAGATTTATTGGAAACCAGTATTACAAAAAGGGGTATAAAAAAGTTGTTGTCCACACAGAACTGCTCACAACAGATGACTGAAAAGGGCTCTGAAGGTTTGAAACTCTATGTTGTGAATTAGCAAGTAAAATTCCTTACCTCAAGATGCAACAGGAATATTGAAATGAATTGAAAGCCTTCTGAGAGACTCATGATGTTTCAAGTCCTAAGATTAAATGTCACCTCTCAACATCAAAAGGTAGATACTTAATTTTCTTTCAGTAATGTATTTTAACTGTCTTGATTAAGCTTCATGTCATACTAAAGACTTTCAAAAAGGCCAAGGTTTTGTACAGCTTCAAAGCTGTCCCTCTTATACACAGCCTAAATTGATTTACCTCAGCTATTTACTCAGGAAGCAAAACGATTATAAGCACCTTGTCAGCAGTTTTTGCAATGCTGTTCTGAAAAGTCATCCTTTTTAAGGCATGTTTTCTAAAGATTTCCTTCTTCTTATACAAAGGATTTTTTTACCCCTCAAAAATATTTATCTCCAGTGAGTATGTACTGAGAGGGATTCCTCCTCCCTGGCAATGCTTCACAACATTGGAATTCAGTGCGTTGTCACAACATTGAAATTTGGTGCATTGTACTTTCTTGTACAGTGAGGAGTGAAGCATTAAAGAATTCAGAGGAATTTAATGCAACAGTGATACTGTATCGAGTTATGGCAAGAGTGAGAAGCACCTGGACATCAGCACTTCATTTATAAACAGTAACTCACAGGCATATATATCAATCACAGCTCAAATTAGCCTTACGCATGAAATATAAATGGATATATATAAAAATATATCATCCTATATTACTAGAAAGACAGAACTACTTATGGGAGATTGCTCAACAATTTTCAAAATCAGACCTTCACGCTTAAATTTGGCCTGGGACAACACCTAGGGTAATAATTCATTAATTCATGTAATTCTTACGTGGTTCATTCCATTGCTTTCCAACTGTCTCCCTATTAATTGTCCTTTTCTTCCACAAAATTGGCCCTGAGTTGAAATTCAACTGTGTGTGTATATATATATACACACATATATATATACACATACATAGATACCTGTGTGTGTGTGTGTATATATCTGTCTTTTTTACACTGAATAATTACATTCCTTGTGAGTCTAAATTCAGATTCGCATCTCTATTTCACTTATTGTACTGGCATTCCTTAAAAAAATGAAAATGTATGTAACAGAGGCTTCCATGTCTGTATTGCAATTTGGAAATTCATGCTTTCTCCTACGTCTTCAGTTTTTTCTGGATTACAGCAATTGGGAAAATTGCTGGAGAAAATTCTTTTCATTGCTTGTAAAATTCTCACTGATCCTCTTGACAAGACGTTCTCTTTAGTTAGGGCTGAATTAAAACAGAATTATTATTCCATGGAAGTTAGCTCCCTGACATGATATAGCGTAACTTATAGAAGTGCGCTGGAAGATTCAAATTGTTGTATGGACTAACAAAGGGTTGCTTGCTTAGACTTATATCAAGTACAGCATTAAGATGCTTGTGTCTGTCTTGACAAATCTGTCATCCCTTCTGTGGATCATCCTCCCATTTCTCACCGACTTTGTCTTCTCAAGTCACAGCTCTGTGCTGCTCAGCGTTCAGTGTCACTGTACCTGATAGCTTACACGCTGCCTTGGCAAACCCTTAAATCTCAACAAAGCACATTACTGCAGAACCACTTACACAGCTAAATGAAATGTGTATTCCATGGCGTTCTGCAGTGAATCTTGCCATTAAACACTGGAACTTACACTATTTTCTTCCTTACATGTAAGTCAGACTCTGCCAGGATATACTCTGCAGCATTCTCCTCGGATATCCTCTGCTTCAGGATGAAGTGATGTTTTTGCATCCTTTCTAAAAGACGCCTGAAGAACATCCTGTGTTCCTTCCTTGAGACAAGATTTTCTTTCCTGAAAGTAAGTGCATTCTCCTGCTCCTTTTCAGTACAAATGATGTTTCTTGTAGCCATTATACCGAGTGGAAGAGTACAAAAAAGGCAGCTCCCTGCAGCCAGTCTCACAAAGCCCATAATTTATAGGGTTACCACAGGCCACATCTAAATTTTAACTCTAATTGTAATTCTAATTCAATTTTCACACTTCAGTCAGTCCATCTGCTTACCAGTTTTGTTCATTAAGCCTTTTTTTCTGTGAGTAGCAAGACTTAAACACTAGATTAAACTGAAGGTGCTGCCTTAAATTTGTTTAGGACAAAGACTATCTAATCTTCTACTGGACTCTAGGGCATTTCCAGCTGTTCGTAGAACAGCATTCAGGCTTGTTATTCAGTTACACTAAAGCCTGTTCTTTCAGAACAGAGACAGACTGGTTTATAACACGTCACCACCACATTCCTTCTTATCCCACTCCCAACATTCAAAGTCCACAGCTCCGCCAAGAGAAGCATTGCTCATTCATCTGTCACCCACCACTCTGTAGCACAGCATTTCAGATCAGAGGATGACTTTGGTATGGCTCCCCTACAGCCACAGCCTTAGGGATCTTCTTCTGACTATTAAGCGACAAGATAACATTGCCAGTCACCTGGAGTTGAACCTATGTCCAACATCAGAAGAGAAACAGTTTCTGCCCTGTGGCTTCCTTGAGATGCGCCAGTCTGAAAGACTCCACAGCTGACCTCTGCTGATTTGGAACCCTGATTCTCCTGGGACTCTTGAGAAACCAGTTGCCAAATGCTGGTTAAAGCTATCACAGTTTATATGGGCCTGCTAGACAGGCTGCGAGGGTGTGTAGAGCCCAGATGCAAGTACAGGAGTGCTCTTAAAATTATCTGATACCAACTATGCATGTATATGGATGCCTATGTCTTTGGGCTCGGTGCATCATAAAGAAACAATCACTGTTTTCTCTGATTATAAAAGAAAACCAAGCAGACATGGACTCATTTGCACTTGTACTCTCACTGTCTTGTCTTTTTTTCTCTTCAGTGGAGACCTCAATACGGCGTACAGTCCTTTCTTAAAAGTAAAATCAGCAGCTTTGAAAACCTGGAAGTAAATGAACTGGGAACATTTCAAAACTTTATGTAACTGGATAAGAGTAAGCCCACTCATAAATCACTGTGCTGGATTGTGGAGTTGGAAGGAATTTGAAAAATCTTTCTATTATCGAAATTGCTAATAGGTACTGAATAGTACAGGAGCCAGAGTGACTCTAATCAATAAGCCTTTCCATTATCACAATA